TGCATTTTCCTCGGAAATTCAATTATTTCTTGGAAGTCTAAAAAGCAGACTAATGTGTCCAGATCATCAGCAGAAGCCGAGTATCGAGCTATGGCAAATACTTGTTTAGAGTTAACTTGGTTAAGATACATTCTTCAAGACTTGAATGTTCCACTGTCCGAACCAGCATTATTATATTGTGATAATCAAGCAGCATTACATATAGCAGCCAATCCAGTTTTTCATGAACGTACGAAACACATTGAAATAGATTGTCATATAGTTCGAGAAAAATTACAAGCTGGAATCATCAAACCGTGTTATGTTTCGACCAAAATGCAATTGGCAGATGTTTTTACTAAAGCTTTGGGAAGACAGCAATTTGACTTTTTGAAGGACAAGTTGGGTGTGATCGACATACACTCTCCAACTTGAGGGGGAGTATTAAGAGGATATTTTGCCGTGATAATTAGTTAGAATATATCTTAGATATTTAGGAAGCTGTTAGTATAGATTTGATTAACCGTATATTTTATTTATTTACCAGATTTAATTAGATATATATTTTTCTATTTTTAGGTATTAGTTGATAGTTTGTATCCTATTTAAACGTGTAAACCTGAATGAATGAAGATCATACTTTCGATCCCAATTCTATTTCTATTTCTCTTTCTTAACAGTCCTGCATTCCATGCTTTCGAATTTTAGAGAGTAAATTTCTGCTGCGGTGAGTTCAATATTTGTGGATGAGTGTGTTAAGTTGATTTATGGAAAGGATTCAAGTGTTACAAAGGAAAGGAGATTTTCTGGAGTTCAGGCACTTTCTGGGACTGGAACGTGCCGACTGCTTGCTGAATTTCAGAGCCATTTCCATCCTGATGTTCCAATGTTCTTGCCCGAACCAACTTGGTCTAAGTAAGTTTCCACTTGCTTTAAGTATTTTTTGCAAACATACACTCGGGTAACAAAGAAAACGCATACCTAGTTTAGATCACTGTTATAAATAATTTGTTAAAATCAATGACAAAGAATAAATGAACTTTTCTTTCAAATAGAATGCTTTAAGGATATGATCTTGATAAATGTTTTTTCGTACCATGGCAAGTGAAACTTTCTGCTATGATATGTTAGTGTTAGGAACTGCGAACCTCTATAATTGTATGACATTGTCCACTTTGAGTATAAACTCTCGTGGTTTTACTTTTGGTTTTTCCAAAGGGCCTCAACTAATGGAGACGTATTTCTTATTTATAAACTCATGATCATTACCTTAATTAGTTAATGTGAGACTCCTCCCAACAATCCTCAATAGTTAGTTCTTATTTGATTTAAAATTCCCCGGAATGTTCTTTCTTTTTGCTCCATCCTTGTGCTCACAACCTAACACATGAACAATGGCTAGAAATTTCAAATCAATTAATGGTAGTTGCAAATAATTTGATGGAGAGAATGATGTGACTTAACTCCAACTTTTCCTTCCAGGTGAAACATCACTTTCCCTTTGTTTGACATGGCGTATCAAGGGTTTGCCAGTGGAGATCTTGAAGGGATGCCAAAGTTATATGGCTGTTTCTTGAAGATGGATATATGGTAGGTTGTGCTCAATTCATATGCGAAGAATATGGGTTTATATGGACACAGGGTTGTTTGTCTAAGGTCAGTATCTATTAGCTGAACTCTAGATTGCTATCAATAGGGAAATATTGTGTAGTGTGAAGTAATTGTCTTGCGTTTAATCGAAGTGTTGCAGTACTTTAAATCTTAATTGGGTTTCTTAGTTGCTAGACAGGGGTAAGCATGGTCTTATTTTTCTTACTTTATGATTGTGTTGCAGTACTTTAAATCTTGATCTCTGCCTCTTGCCTGCCTTGTATTCTGACATTACATCCATTTGTTCAACTTTTCCCCCATTTTCTAGTGTTCTTGGCAAAGATCAACAGCAAGCCATGATAGTAAGATTTCAGCTTCAGTGACTGGCCAGGGCAATGTATAGCAGCCCTCCCATTCGTCTGAAGACTGAATGGATTGAAGAACTGAAGGTACTGGATAAATATTTGTAAAGTCTCTTCTTGATTTCTTGGAGGATATTGATTGTGAGATCCCACGTCAGTTGGAGAGGGGAACAAAGCATTTCTTAAAAGAGTGTGGCCCTAATAGACGCGTTTTAAAATCATGAGACTGACGGCGATACGTAACGAGTCAAATCAGACAATATCTGCTAGCAGTGAGTTTGAGCTGTTACAAATGGTATCAAAGCTAGAAACCAGACAATGTGACAGTGAGGACACTGACCTTCAAGGGGGATGGATTGTGAGATCCCACATCAGTTGGAGAGAGAAACGAAACATTCCTTATAATGGTGTGCAAACCTATCCCTAGTAGATGCGTTTTAAAACCGTGAGGCTGACGGCGATACGTAACGGGTCAAAGCGGACAATATTTACTAGTGGTGAGCTTGGGCTGTTACAAATGGTATCAGAGCCAAACATCGGACAGTGTGCCAATGAAGATGCTGGGCCCCCGAGGGGGGTGGATTGTGAGATCCCACATCAGTTGGAGAGGGGAATGAAGCATTGCTTATAAGGGTGTGGAAACCACTAGTAGCGTGTTTTATAACCATGAGGCTGACAACGATACGTAACGAGTCAAAGCAAACAATATTTGCTAGCGGTGGCTTAGGCTGTTACAAATGATATCAGAGCCAGACACCAAACGGTGTGCCAATGAGGACGTTGGGCTCCCAAGGGGGGTGGATTGTGAGATCCCACATGAGTTGGAGAAGAGAATAAAACATTTTTTTATAAGGGTATGGAAACCTCACCCTAGTAGATGCAGTTTTAAATCGTGAGGTTGATGGTGATACATAATGGGTCAAAGTGAACAATATTTATTAGCGGTGAGCTTGGACTTGGACTTGGACTTGGGCTGTTACATACTGATGTGTTTTTACCCTCCTACATTTTAAGGTTTTTGGCCAATTGCATTTGATCTATTAGAGCTAGTTTATTTGATAATCTTGAGAAACTGAATGCTCCTCTCAATCGGGATCACATAGTCAGTTATGGTACTAAGAATTTGGCTAAGTTACATTTTTGTTCCATCATTGAATCCTGCAATTATTATTGGTTGCATTCCAGCTCTTTGATTTCTTTCCAGCTAAACTTAAGTCCTGTCACGTGTCCATATTTTCAATCAGTATGAATTCTTTGACGCATATTTCATATCATTAAAATAAGATTATATCACGAAATTCATATGGCACATACAACACTAATGACTGAGTGGAAAAAATTGTGATAAAGCTGTTTAATATTTGTTTATTTATCAATTGTGACAGATGCAGGTCGGAATGGTTTGCTATTCTGGTTTAAACTGTGAGCAGATTGATCTGCTGGCTAGAGATTTTGGTGGTACATATGAACAGGGATGGACGTGTGAGGTACCTCTAAAACTTTATGTTAGGCTGCATTAAATTTGCATCTTTGATTGGCTGGTTGATGATTTATGTTTTAATTAATTGAGCGATAGTTAAAATATACGAAATAAAAAATTTGTTTCTTTGATTTCTTTCTTGGTTTGATTTATTATCTTTGGGCAGCCTGGCGGGTGTAACGGCAAGAAATGTTAGTTACTTACGTAGAGTATCAAGTCAGCAATTATGATCTAAAATACTTAAACGTCTCAAGATGTAGCTTCTAATGGCTTTTTGTTGTTTAATTTGAAGATGATACGAAAACTCTAGCCAATTGAATCTAAGAATTCTTATGGATATATGAACCCTTGGATCACAAATGCCACGCCCCTCCAAATCAAGGTGATTTCATTCCATAAGATAAGGAAATTTTTAGGTGAAAAACTAGAGATATTAGGTATCCTTAAAACGAAAAGACATCATTCCAAGAGAAATGAATATTTGGATTATCTTATCGATCAAATAAGACAAAAAAAAAAAAAAAACTTTAAGATAAACCAAGTCAAACTTATAGGTAGCTAAGAGAAAGTATAAATGCTCTTTTTATTACATTTTCCACCTCTACTCCACTCGAATACATAAAGTCTCATACATAAAGTCTCAAATAAAACATGTAGCTAAAAAAAAAGTAAATAAAAAGAACTAAAAATATACTAATGAAGCACTATATATTTAGGTTTCAATTCCTCCACCCAAAAGTTTATAACCGTCCAAGAAAAAATGAAGGCCCACTTAAAGAGCTTGAGTCTATTGTCGGAGCTGGATTCTTTCTTTAATGTGACATTATCGACAACTTAAAAGTTCAATTTTAATGAAACTTGACTTTATTTAATGTGATTAGAGTCTATCTTGTGGTAATTTGATGATATTTTTTCACTTCTTTGAAATTTATATTCACTAAGATTCATATCATGGTTCAATGAACGGAGACCAAAAAGAAAAATTGTATTGTATAGCTAATTGAATTGCTTTCTAAACCAGTCGAATTTAAAGTCGACAAGAAGGATCAATTCTTCTAGTTTTTAATTTTTTTTTTTAACTATATTCTAAAATGAATAAATAAATTAATAAAATGATTACAAATGAGCTTTTAGTGTTTGATATTAATGTATATAGTGTTGGTATAATGAAATTAATGTGTAACATAGTAATGGGTAGATGAGAATTTTCATACTATTAATTACATTGAACCAAAATTATTTATTTTTTAAAAGAATTTAAGTCTGTGGGACCAAAGAAAGAATCTGTTGTATGTTGATGTAGCATGGAGTTAAAGTCCATGGTACCAAATCACGGGGTCTTATTTATGTTGTCGAAAGTTTAGAAAACTAGAGTGGTATATTAAACTAACATTGAATCTTTTTTTAAATTTGATTATTGCATAATGAATGAGGAAGTTGTTGAATGTTTGTTTACCATCGGCAGTAATGGATTAGCCTTTTTCTTTTTTTCGACCCAAATAATGGTTATAATCATATGAAATAGAATCTATGTGAGATCTTACATCGGCTGGGGATGAGAACAAAATATTCCTTATGAGAGTGTGAAAACATTTTCTTAGTATACGCATTTTAAAACCGTGAGGTTGACGGCGATACGTAACGAGCAAAAGTTGACAATATATGTCAGTAATGGGCTTGAGCTGTTACAAATGGTATTAGAGTCAAGACATATGGCGGTGTGTGAGTAAGGACATTAGGCTCCCACAGGGATGGATTGTGAGATCCCACGTGGATTGAAGAGAGGAACAAAACATTTCTTATAAAGGGTGTGAAAACCTCCCATAAAGCAGACAACGATATGTAATTGGTCAAAGTAGATCAAAATTACTATCAGTGTACGTGTACTTGGGCTATTTGTGTAATAATCATTCACAACTGAAAAATTAAATAGGTTGATGGTAACAGATACCTATTTGTGTAATAATATTAGTAAAATGCAAAGGATAAAATTCTTATTCTTTCTTATGATTATAATCATTCTTCTTTCCTGTCGGTGCAAATGTTTAGTTGGGCACCAAATGGGTACTAAAATCTTACTACATGACAAGTTTGTTTCCTTTTCACGGTTTTATATCTATCAAATTGACCCGACCCAATTATTACATGTCAACTACGATCAAATTTTACGATAGATTTCAATTACATTCTTCGACTTTGAAATTTTTTATTTTAATCTTTAAAGTATATTTCAGTTATATCCTTCCCTTTTAATAAATTTTATTTTAGTTCTTAAACTTAAAAATTGTTTTCAAAATAATTTTTAGTTAAACAGCTCAATAATTCAAAAAATTTGATGGGTTGGATTCAAATAAATGAAAGTTTAATGGCTCGTGTTGAACTGAACTAAAAAGGATTTATTGTTAATTCGTATATTTAAAATTGAAATTTATCAATAACCACCTTAATCTTATAGAATTTAACCTTATCTTTTCACACCCGTGCACTTGATCAATAGCCCAACTTAGGAGGGTGTTTTTGTCCCTAAATTTTCATTTTTGATCTTCGATAAATCAATTTTTGAAATGATAATTAATGTTTTAGGAATCGTTTAGGTGTGTTTCACTTAAACTAGTCTCATCCTCCCACTAATAACTAATAAATTTTTAATATGAAAATTAGCTAAACAATAAATTAAACTATAAATTTAATTCATAAAATTTAATAAATTTTTAATTTTGAATCCAATAAAATTTTAAATTTTGTGCTTGATAGATTTTAATTTTTTTGGGACGGTTTTTTAAATTTACTTAATTAATAGATAAATTAAAAACTTTATTTATATTATATATAATTATAATGGTAAAATTAGATTTCTAGAAACAATGAAAAAAAAAGTGGTAATTATTCTTAAAAAGAGTTTTAATGCGACAAGGAATATAGATGTATTAAATTGCATAGCTAAATTAGCATAAACATGCTTTAGGTTTAATTATTATTATTAATTTTTTCACAAATTTAATTATTTCAGATGAACAGAACTATGATTCGAAAGCTTTCTTCTCCGATTCCGATTCCGATTCAGAAACTATGAAGATTATCAATCTCACAGCCACAGCGGCCAATTATCTGCCGATGCCGAAACAAAGTACCGAACCGGTGGGCGCCGCCGCCGCCGCTTTCTCCTTCGAATGCGAGATTCCGCTCGGTAACCGTCGCGGAAAACGGCGTCCGGCGGCCGAGTCGAACATCGATCCGGAAGACGGCAATGACGCCGATTTGGAAAATGGCGGCGACAACAGATCGTCGATTTTCCTCTTCGGATTAAAGAAGATGTGGAAAAGCGAGAGCGATTTGGATCGCTTCTTCGGCGGTTTCTTAAGAGAATCGGAAAAGTAAGAAGGAGGAGGAGTGAGAGGAGGAGTTAGGTCATCGGAAAATCGGTGAATAGGCGTACCTGGCTGAGACTCCCAACCGAAGGGAACAGCGCCGGCCAATCCGGCATAGTAGACTCTGGAAGAGTAATCGGCTCTGGAACTTTCTCTGGTTAGAAGCTTGGAGAAGAATTTGTCGTTGTGCTTGATCTGAAGCGATTGGTGGAGATTATCGGAGGTTTCGCAGAGCATAATTGTAAGTTTCTGAACACGGAATCTCTGAATTTGCGATCTCTGATTGTTCGTCGAATCTCTCTCTCTCTCTCTCTCTCTCTCTCTCTCTCTCTCTCTCTCTCTCTCTGTTTGTTCTTTTGTGCGAAGGCCATTGATTAGGGTCCCTGAAACTGTTCATAAATGCGCCTCTGCACGGCCTTTGTCCCCCCTTGGAAAAAGGGTTTTTTCTTTTTTCTTTTTCGGATTACTTTAAATAAATAATTATAATTTGAATAATTTTAGGCTGTAAATTATGGGTTATTTATTTATTTATTTGTTAGATTATTCTTAATATTTGAAAATTATTAGTGTAATATTAATCATTTGGATTATTATTTTATTATGGAATAGAAAATCTTAGATCTATATATTTAAATTAATTAAATTATGTTTATGTCCCACCGTTAGCAGATATTTTTCTCTTTGCGCTTTCCCTTTTAGGCTTCCTCTTAAGGCTTTAAAACGTGTTTGTTAGGGAAGTTTTCCACACGCTTATAAATGGTGGTTTGTTCTCCTTCCCAATCAATGTGGGACATCACAAACCCACATTGAGGGGAAGCCCGAAAGATAAAGCCTAAAAAGGACAATATTGTTAGCGGCGATCTTGGCTGTTACAAGATTTGTTTTGAAAACTTTGAGGGGAAGCTTGAAAGGGAAAGCCCAAATAGGACCATATATGTTAGTAGTGGGCTTGGGCTATTAAAAATGGTATCAGAGCCAGACATCGAGCGATATGCCGACGAGGACGTTGGGCCCCCAAGGGAGGTGAATTGTGAGATCCACATCGGTTGGAGAGGGAAATGAAGCATTTCTTATAAGAGTGTGAAAATCTCTCTCTAGCAGATGCGCTTTAAAAACCTTGTGGGGAATTTTGAAAAGGGAAAGCGTAAAAAGAACAATATCTGCTAGCTGTGGACTTAGACGGTTATAAATGACATTAGACCAATGATTCAGGGGTGCTCGCTAGACGATATGAACCCAATCATTGATATGAATCGAGTGTTTTTTAAGGTAGTACCCCAATCAAGTACTCGTGTACACGGGCCACAATGAAGCTAAATGGTGGACTATTATGACCCTATTTTTTAGAATTAGTTTCATAACTATTTAATACATATATTCTTTAATTAATATTTATTTTTAAAAAATACTGATTTTTGTAAAGGTGATTTTATGAATTATGGAGGAAAAAATTCCCGACAAGATCTAAAGGAATCAAGATATTTTGAAAGTGGGCCGAGTAGTTTCTTTCTTAGGCCCACTAGCTTCCATGACAATGGTTGCTTTATATATACTGGGCCATATTGGGCTCTGAATGGATCACAATGGAAACTCAATTAAATTTATAAAAAATGTAAAAAATATTTATATAAATATTTTTAAAATTGGTGTTGCAATATGGTTTCTATGAAATTGACCAATATTTTAAAATTATTTTATATTTGGGTATATATGAAAATTTGTTAATTCACGATAAAACTCGATATTGAAGATAATCAAAGGAGTTGTATGAGACGTTTCAAACCGAGCTAATTTGGCAAGAAGCTGGAATATTTTGCAATTGTTTCATAAAATTTCGGTGGGTAATGACACAACTTCAATGAACCATTTTTCCTCTGTAAATTTAACGTTAATTGTCCAACGCTCACGGGTTAAGGCTTTAGGTCATATAGATACATATTTTCGTACGTTCGTGTGTTATCAACAATGGAAATGAATGATTTACCCGACAACAAGAAATAAAAATCTGATTAATGGCGAGTTGAATTATTCTCTAGAAATGGAAATTAAATTTAATGATAAAAATATTTGTAATTTTTTTTAAAAAAATTAAAATTATTATTGGAATTTTTTAAAATTTATGAATAATAAATGTGTTTTATTATTTTAACCTAAAATAAATAAATAAATAAAAAGGTTGGAATTTATGATAAAATCTCGGAATTAATTCTAATTAAATCAGATACCCTAAATTCTATTTATTGGACCAAATTTGTAATTACAAAAAAGATCGACCATTTCATTTTCCCTCTCTCACTGCACCGAAACTTTCTTCCCTGTACCTTCTTCTGTTCCTGCTCTCGCTTCCATCTTCTCCAAAAATCCAAACCAGACACCATTGTTGTTCCCCTACCCTTCATCAACCTCCATTGATTCCTCTAATTTTCTCAAGGAAAGAAGAGTTTCGAGGTCTGCTTTTAATGGAGTTTCAATTTGCCTTCGTAAGTTCTTGTTCGTTTTTTTTTTTTTTTAAATTTTCTTACTGAATCCCTAAAATGTCGCATGTTGCCGTTCTGGTAGTTTATGCAACGAGAAAAAACTCGGAGTCCGAGTTTCATTTGGTGATGGAGATTTGAGAGCCGTGAGGTTGTCGGTTGGTTAGCGGCTATTACTTTCTTTAATGGAGAAGCGCGGTGGCGTCAGGGCGGAGATTGATACTTCGGCGCCGTTCGAGTCGGTGAAAGAGGCTGTCAGTAGGTTTGGCGGAAGCGGCTTTTGGAAACTCTCCAACAGTAATGGTCACAGTCACAGCCATCTATCTGAACCTGAGGTTCTTTCCGCCCACCCTTCTCTCTTTCTCTCGCTCTCTTTTGTTGAATGTGGATTGTTTATTTTAGAATTTTCAGATTGTTAAATGGACGATTTCGATAATTTCAGCTTGTTTTATAATTATCTCTGCAGATTTTGGTATTGTTATAGGTAGTGAATGTTCTTGTTTTATTGTAGTTGGTTTGTTTTTATTGTCTTTTGGAGGTACTAATTTGAGATGTTTAGATGCATATTGGCCAGTTTGTAGATAAGATAAAACTAGAGGTTTGGGTCTCAAGTTTTAGTTGTTTTCCATTTCAAATGATCGTGATATAGTCAATTTGTCATTGGCTTTTGACATGCTTTGTATCACAGGCATGCTTATCTGAGGCGTGTTGCCTGTGGTTACATGTCAAATCCTTTGGTCATGCTTGTCTAGGATGTGTTATCCATGGCTGCATGTCCGTTCCGAACCTCCTTTACTTGATTTCATGTATACTTAGGTCTTTAACTATTCTTGTAGTCGATGCGGAGTGTATGACTATTCACCAAAATCATGTTTACACCCGTCAGGACAGAAATGCCCCAAAATATACTATAGGAGATGTGACTGTTAGGAATCACGACCTCCACAATGGTATGATATTGTCCATTTTGAACTTAAGCTCTCATGGTTTTGCTTTTGGTTTTCCCAAAAGGCCTCATACCAATGGAGATAGTGTTCCTTGCTTATAATCCCACAATCATCCTCTAAATTAGCAAATGTGGGACTCCCTCCCAACAGTCCTCAACAATGATTAGTCGTTAATCCTTCCTACCTGGGTTATATACTATCAAGGTTGTGGTTATTTTATTTGCTTTTAGAGACTTTATCATATGTCCGAATTGTCCATGACTTAAGATTTCTATACGGCTGACTTGTTTGTCGGGTTAGAACAAGTGTCACACCATTGATGTCCCATTGCCACAAGAGTGCGATTGTGACCTTGTACAATAGCAGCTAATATAGTTAAACGATCAGAAATTTTGGATATTCATTAGTGACTCTCTTTCCTGAAAATAACTAATGTCAAATTGGTTTATATTCTATCTACTTTCTTCAAAACCATTGGGGAGAGGCTTTGAAAATTTTCAAGGTAGCCCTACATCGACATCCAGTGCAGACTAATTTGAGAATTAAGTTTGTGCCATGTCCTCTGACCTGTTATGTCCTTTCTTTTTTTAATCTTTTCTTCATCATTAGCATGATAAGAACGAGATCGAGGTTGACGTTGCAATGCTTGAAAAGAAGGCAATGGACATGGAGAGTGAATTGATTGTCAAAGAAAGGAAGATCCTGGAGGTCTTAAAAGAACTGGAAGCAAACAGGAGGAATGTAGAAGATTTGAAATTTAAGCTGCAGAAAGAAACAGCTGAAGTCAGCATGATTCGAGAAACGACGAGAGATGATATGAATGCAGCTTCTCCTAAAGAAGCAGATAAGGAAAACCACATGAATCTCGACAGCCGAGGTTGGAATGTGCAAGTCTCCCCTCCAGCACCTGGTGTAATTCTTAAGGAACTGGAACAGGCAAAGTTAAATCTTACCAGGACCACGAGCGATATTGCTGATATACGAGCTTCTGTTGAATCTTTTAACAGGAAACTAGAGAAAGAAAGAACCGGACTTGAGAAAACTCAAGAGAGGTTAGCCCAGAATTCGTCTAATATATCGGCGCTCGAGGAAGAGCTAAACCAAACAAAACTGAAGTTACAAGTGGTAAAAGACGCTGAGGCCAAAGGTTTTCCAGATAACCCTTTAGAGAGGTCAAAGGAGCTGCAACAATTAAGTTATGAGGCAGAAAAGTTCAAGAAAGCGAGGGAAGCGATCGGACTCGAAGTTTCAAGAAGAGAATCCGAGATTGAACAGAACAAGGCCGTGCTAAGAACAGCTCAAGTCAAATTGGTTGCTGCTAGAAAAATGAAGGAAGCTGCTAGAGCAGCAGAAGCTATTGCTCTATCTGAGATCATGATTTTGACGAAGCATAAGAATGCATCTAGTGATGTTTCACAAATTCATGGCAGCGAAAGTGTAACGCTTTCGTCGGAGGAATATTCTACTCTTACTCGTAAAGCTTGTGATGCTAAAGAACGATGTACGAAGAGAGTTATCGACATCATGCAACAAGTTGATGCTGCAAACACGTTAAAAATGGAGATCTTGAATCAGGCAGAGAATGCTTATGAAGAACTCGAAACAAGTAAACGGGCATTGGAAGCAGCTCTGAGTAGGGTGGATGCTGCAAATCAGGGAAAGCTAGCAGTCGAAGAAGCGCTTTGCAAATGGAGGTCGGAGCACGACCGTAACAGGTGTACCATTCAAAGCTCTACCAAGTTTAAGAATCCTTGCACTTCTCACTATAAAAAGGATTCTCGGCTACTTGACATAAATGGAGTGAATATGGTCAGTGATGGACCAACGCCTGTTTTGAAGCCAACGCTTTCGATAGGGCAGATACTAAGCAGGAAGCTACTACCTCCGGAACAATTTGAATCGGTCACGCTACCGGAGAAAAGCTCAGTTGGAAGAAAGATGTCACTTGGTCAGATGCTCTGCAAACAAAATAATGAGGCATCCTTTACAAAGATGGCTGAAAAAGATGGTAGCCAGAAGCTGACTTTTGGAAGAAGAAAGAAGTCGGGATTCGCTCGGTTTACTCTGCTGTTGGCGAAACGAAACAAGAAGAAGAAGAAGAAGAAACCTGCAGTGTTTAGGAAATAACCTGTTACTGTTAGCTTGGCTTTAACTTTGATCTCTTTATCATTCATATTATTGGCTGGCTTCTTAGTGCTTTCTTTCGTATCTTCCCTCCCTTTGTTAGAATCTTTACTTTGGGATGATGTTTATATTTTGCATAGTTTCTAGATTTGGCTTTGCCTTATATGTGTTCTTGATCCGTTGATCTCTTCAATAGAGATGTCTATTAATTTGCAGGATTCAAACTATATCTCGAACAGAGTTTAAAGTTATGTTTAAACGGAAGATGAGGAGGGACTCAAGAGGGTTTTTTTTTTCCTGGTAAGTTAAATGGGATGGGGATGGGGATACCTGCCCTGTCTTGGCTCGTCTCGCCTCACATATATAATAACTCTGAATAGCCTAATCCTCATAAATTTTCTGTGATCCCCTTAAAAATAAATTGAGAATTTTGTAAGGATGAGATTGAAATAAGAGGTGGAGACAGAGATAGAAAAATCTTCTTTGTCTTTTCTCCAACTCGTAAACGTCTCTAGCCTTTATAGTTCTAACCCTTTTAACTATGTTAAGATTGAATATAGGTTTACGAACTTTATACGAGCGGAGAAAAAATGATTATTATATAGAATCTTTCATGCCCCTAAGGCTTATCCTTTCATCAGACGGAGATGTTGTGGAAGGTTTCTCCATTGTGGCAACCATCAATGGCCTCAAATAGCATTAGATTCTATTGAGTGGAGTAAAAGACATAACTTGCTCTCATTGTTGACTCGGGTCAGTTTTGAATTGAGAGGGACATCTCGAACCAAATATAGGTATGAAAGATACTTAATAATGTTCTCTTCGAAAATTAAAGTTTTATTTTCCATTTTTGAGAGATTCAAGAACATGGGAAGATCGAGAATTTGAACCTTAAATTAGGTCGAAGGTATATGTCTTTACATTATTGCTCGTATGAACAAAGTTCAATTGGTTAAAGAATTAAATATATCTATCGTTGAGGTATGACGTGAATGCCCACTTCCATAATTGCACCGTCTAAGGTAAGAAATTATGATTGAACTTTAAAAAAATATATCAATCTTTTTGTATATCCTTAATTTTTTTATTCCGAATATATGTAATTCACTAAATTTAAAAAGAAAAAACATATTCTAAGCATCAAATTAAAATAATCATTTTTTTAGATTAAGATTATAAATAATACTTCACTTTTGTTTTTGAAATTTGGGTGAGAATTCAAACATTTTCATAAATTCATCCATTATAAAATAATTTTAAAAAGTTAAAAATTAAAACAAAATTGATAAAATTACTTTATAAATTATAAATAACTGATAAGCTTTTAAAGAAAAAAAATGAAATTAATATTAAAAAATTGTTATAATTTGGGAGTTTTTATTAAAATAATTCCCTAATTAATTTGTGGATTAATAAAAGTTTAACCAAAATTAGTGGAGGAAAATTAAGGTTAAAATTGATAATAATTAATAAAACTCCAAAATTTATGGATAAGCATTGAAAAAATTCCATTTAATTAATATTTGAGTTCCAACCCAATAGGACACGAACAAGTTCCATCTTCTCTTTCGTACGCCCTCCGAAGAACGGAACCAGAGCCTGGCTGTCTGAGCCTCTCATCGAAGGTCTGTATTTCTCTGCAATCTGAATTCGATTCTGTTTCCAATCCTCAATTCTTAATCCTGCGTGCTGAGAAACCGCGGGAAGAAGAATTAACGATGATCCATGGTTCAATTTTCCGAGAATCGTTATCTTTTTCCTTCGTTTTCTTGGTTGCCAAATTGATGTTCTAGGGTTCTTTTCGATCCTTACCTTCTTTGCTTCTCTTCAGTTTTTCCTCTGTTGTTTGTTCTATTTGTGATCTGTTCTTATTTCATTGACGTCTGTAATACGCAAATATCTTGTAGTTTTTATCCTCGTTTTCGTTGATTGAGTCCATGCTGTGGTTGGATTAAAATTCTTAAGTGAATCGATAAACGTTGACTTAAAAAAGATCGCCGTATAGTTATAATACGTTTCCCCCTTCCATTTCTCGGTTGATTTTTCGTTGTCTTTTACAGGCATCAGGTGCAATGGATTTGAGATTTGGACTTGTCTTCCTTCTTGTAGTGTGTGCTGCTTGGGATTGTGATGCTAGAAAATTGGCATCATCTGGTAATTCTTTATTGCTTACCTTCTTCCTACCAAATTGGCAATTTGTTCAACGTTTCTGGTTGTTGTTTAGAATTTACGTAAGTGTCTTGCTTCAGTTTCGGCTCTAATCTTTTAGAAACTTCAATTTCATCGCATCAAGTCCTCATCGTCACTAATTCTTCAAAGAAAATTGTTGTGCAACATATGGAAAATAAGGGATATTTTTGTTACGATGTCCGATGGATCCTAACCTTATTTGATTGAAGAAAAATAATTACATAAAAGATGAAATTGAAAAATGGTTGAAAAGTTAGAGACTCAATGGTTATGATTATGTATCCTGATTTTCGGACCTTTCCCTATTCCTTGTCTTTAAAGCTTCCAACAAATACAAGTGTTGTGTGAAGATGATTTTTATTTATTTTTGAAAAGGCATTCAATCTTCTGATTTGAATGATATTTTATCTCATCAGAGAAGTTACAATTTCTGCCTTCTCAGATCATGAGTCAAGCTACCTGGAGCTAGAGAAGGACGTGGAGGCTTCATCTGAAGCTTCCAGCAATCCCAAGATATGTAAACTTTGTGAGAGCTTGGTCAGTCAGGCAGTTGAATACCTTGCAGATAACAATACCCAAAATGAGATCACTGGTATTCTCCAGCAAACGTGCGCTGTATTGGGCGTGTTCAAGGAGGAGGTATGACAGCTTAAATGTCCCTATACAACTTTTTTATTTCATGAATCTGTATGAGTGTGCTTTTGAAACAATATGTAACTGTCTGAAATGAAGGAAAATAACTATTGACTTTGCTGTTTTTAATAATATGTTTATCTTTGTTTCAACTTTCAGTGCATCAGTTTGGTGGACAACTATGTTCCTCTCTTCTTCTCAGAGATTTCCTCAATTGAGCCTTCTAGCATCTGCCAATCAGCCCGCATCTGTGAGCAAGTTACTATAATCTCCTCGCAGATTCAGGATAATAGCTGTGGATTCTGTCAAGAGACTATTTCAAAAATATTGGATAAGTTGAAAGATCCCGACACACAGGTTCACATTACACACTCTGCTAGTTATGCTTATCAGGAATTTCTAATTATGGAACAATTATATTGAGGAAATAAAATTTACAGAGATAGGGAAAAGCAATATAGAAGGAGATGATCTGCAAATTGTAAATAATAATTGTAATATGGATTAGGGTGGGTGAATTAACAAAATTCGTGCACGTAGGAGAAATCTGAAAACTAAGATGCATGAGATGATATCATAAGAAATATAGTATGGTCAGTATGAAATGGAATGATTTAAGAGTTTGAGACCGGTGAAACAAGATAATTTTGGTGCAATCCTTTGCCATTTTGAGAGGTTGAGCTAGGATGTTGGGTTTTGTGTGGTCTGTATGGAGAATATTGCTTTCTTGCCAAACTGTTGGGCAGATCTTTTGTCAGGATGACTATTTTGTGAATATCTGTCGATTGGAAGGTCGCAGGAATACGTATATGTATTTTTTGATAGTATCAAAACTTACCACAAATTCTATAGTTGTTAAGAAACACGTATATCTCTCTCGAGGTCTCGAGGATGGTAGTTTCATAGAAAATTCTTATGTTCGTGAACTTATTGCATTCTCTTGAATATGAAATAAACTTTATCATTTAATGTGGACGTGTATTGAACCTTCCTTCTGAGCATATGGCTTATTTTCTTTGTGTGTATCAGATAGAGATACTCCAGACGCTTCTGAATATGTGCGACTCCTTGGGGTATCGTGTGAAACAGGTACGAAAAAACTTGGATATCAATGCTTTTAGTTACCTGTCCACATAATATGATTCATGTCCTCATGTCGATTCTTCATCTTTATTTCTTTCAGTTCCTGAAGTATGTCTAAAACAATTAGTCTCTCTTTCACCTTAATATATCCAAAATGTAACTAGCTGAGGTTGACCAAGTGATCTATCCTTTCTATAATATCCAGTCTTGGGTGACTGTTTTCTGCCAACTTCTTCTCTTATGTTGCTTTAGACTAGCGCCTTACATTAAGTTAATGACCCCCCTCAGTAATCTTTTGGGCGGTGTTCAATATGTTATTCTGATATCTCGACATTTTCCATCATGAGCAGTGCAAGAAATTAGTGTTTGAATATGGGCCTCTGATCCTTGCCAATTCGGAGAAAGTTCTAGAACAAACAAATATTTGCAAAGCTATACATGCTTGTCCAGCAGTAGCTGGTGGTGACAACACCACATCATCTGTTGGAACTGTGTCTTTGCTCGCCGACGCTTGAATGTGCACACAATCACGACGGAGGGATCTACACGTCGTGTCTGAATGAAAATGGGTAAGAAAATTACATCTTCCTTGCCTTTCTCTGTCTGTTTATGAATCTAATATGATAACAATCCTTGTCCGTGGATGGTCTGTGTAATGTACATGATTTACATTGATATGTGGATATATATGTCATTGGCTATTGCTATTTCGAGCCGATTGTTAGCATTAAGGAACTTGGAATTGTCCATTTCAGTCTGCTGTAGCTACTCAATTTGAATTGTTGATGATGCTTTGCTTGAATTGGAAGCTTCTATTCTTTTGCTTTTAACCTTTGTATTGTGCTCTGGCAATTTAGCCTTTTGAACTTTGGGCTAGGAGGATAAAAATGAAGTGAGATGACTCGAGTTATGAAGAGTCCTAATCTCATTACCCTCTAAAGGTCAATGATTTGCAACAACCAAATTTGATTGTTAGTAGATGTTGTCCGTTTTTTTTCTGTTACGTATCATTGTTAGGCTCACGGTTTTAAATACGTTGTTAGTCTTACGTTTTTCCCGTTACGTAGGGAGGGTATAGCCCTACTCCGACCACCAGTGCCTCGCATTGTCCGATACTATTTGTAATAGATTTGACCTACTGCTAGTAAATATTGTCTGTTTTATTCAGTTACGTATAGCCGTTAGCCTCACTGTTTTAAACACAGTTTTAAAACACGTCTACTGGGGAGATCAGTTTTCACACTCTTATAGTAGATATTGTCTGTTTTATTCTGTTGCATATAGCTGTTAGCCTCACGGTTTTGAAACACGTCTACTGGTGAGAAATTTTCGCACCGTTGTAAAAAATATTTCATTCCTTTCTTTAATCAATATGAGATCTCACATTGAATAATATAAAAATGCTAATCTAGCATGTGTCAATAGCGTCGTACGGAGTTGATAACAACAAACATAGCACTAATAATCAACTCCAAACATAGCACTAATAACAACAATTTTTTATTTTTTAAGTTCAGTCAATTAAATTATATTTAGATTTTAAATTTAAATATAAAAAAAAAAATAATAAAAGAATAACTTGGTCCCACTCATTCATTGGGTCAACAAACCAAGCGGCCTTAGCCAGTTAAATTACTGGAAACAAAAATTGGAAGTCTTTCCCACAAAGGCTATTTAAGTAAATTCAGTATTACAAAACGACAAAAGAAAAACAGAGTAGAATCCAGGGGACTGAACGCAGAGAAATCCGAAACCAGAGAGAACGTGTGTGGCTGGAATGGAATTGTGGCAGTGCCTGTTACCGAATGAATGCTCAACAGTCCTACTTGTCATTCGGTGATTGGTGCGGGTCAGATAATTAGGTCACAGACAGTGATTGTTCAAGCGAGTACAATTCACCGTTCGTATTGAAGCACGTGTCCTTCCCCCCCACCCCGCTTGCTTCACCCCAAGTCTTAATTCATTTTTGTAAATAAAAAAACAAAAACAAGTTTATTTATTTTTATTTTTAAGAAATAAATTGTAAAAAATGTTGGCCACGTGATTGTACGTCTTTAATTAGATGAAAAAGATAGAATACCAACTATTTAATATACAATTAATTATTTTTTTAATATATTTAATAATTAAAGCTTTTACAAATGCTATATTTTTCATTTTAATTTTTTTAAAAAAGTTTAAAATTATTTTATTATAATTTTTCGAGTCAGCAAAGAAAATATATTTGTTAGATGTAAAATAAAAAATAATTATAATACATAGGTTTTTTTATATGGATAACAATGATAGGACTTACTTCAATTAATATTTTATTAAGTTATTAAAATATAGAAAAAAGAGTACGACTTTTCCTCTAGTATAAGAAAGAAGATTTATGTTCGTAACTATAAATAAATATATGATGTGCTTATCCGTAATTTTTATTGAATAATTTTTATTTTTATTCAAATAATATTTAATTTAGCTTATTTATTATTATTTTTTAATTATGAATATTATTATTTCTTAATATCACCGCCTCACAATTCAAATAATGAACGATAGAGCAGAATATGTAATTTGAAGAAGGCCGGAGGGTATTTTGGTAATTTGGTAATGATATACGGCCGTTATGGTATCTTTCATTAAAATGGAGAAATCAGGCGGCCAAATCGAAGCTTGCATTCAATTTTGCCTTTGCATTTCTGTTTTAGGGTTTGGGTCTTCGAAATTTCTCTGAAGCTCCGTTCCTTTCCTTTGCGTTCATTCTCAGTATTCTTGCTCTTTGACAGCTAATTTCATCAGTTTCTTCGCAATTCCTCTTCAGGTTCCTGGTAAGCCATTGAAAATTCATGTTCATTTCTTTTTACGCTCTTAGATGATTTATTTGTCCATTTTCTCTTTGTGAATTTTGTTTCTAGGCATTGAACTCTGATTTGTGGTTTGTTACGATGAGGTTATGAATCGATACTTATATTTCTTGTTTGTGTTCGATTCTGTTTGGTTTAGTAGAATGAGAGGCTTTGTATTTTCTTGATTTGCCTCTCTGTGTCTCGATCTCGATTGGTCTCTAGAGAGGTAGAAGAGAGATTTGTTTAAGTAACTCTGAGATTAATCGAGTGAGGGAGGGAGTGAGGCTCACTCTTTAATTTCTTGGTAAGCGATCGAAATTTCCTTTTCCTTTTCCTCTTTTCCTTCTCCCTGTCAATTTTGTGTCTAGACGATAAACTCTGATTAACAGTGTGTGATGATGAAGTTATGAACCGGCATTTATATTTGTTGTTCTTGTCGAGTATGTTTTTATTCCTTGTTTGTTACCGAGATTCGTTTCCGCCGCTTGTCTGTTTGGTTCCTTGATTGAAACGATGCGAATTTTCTTCAACTTTGTCTCTCACGATTTGTTCAAGTCGCTTACAGTACGTGCTAATTTGGCTTAAGAGTTATTATTATTTTTAATTTGTCCATTTTTTTTGTCTATCATTAGTTGGAGAAAAAAAATTGACCGTGTAGCTTAAATTCTACATGACGAGATTTTTTTAGGTTAATATTATCATCGGCTTGCTTCTAATCACAATTTTTTTTTCTTTCTGTATTTAGCTCTAATTGCTAAGAGTTGGCTTTACTGTTTAGTTTGTGTTATAAGCCGCGATATTTGTAACTATTGCGAGTGAAAATAAAAAGCTTTTATCTTACTACAATTATTGAACTCTATGAAGCTTCTCTCTGTTCTTTAGATGTACTAACTGTAATATATGGAATTGGATGACTTGTACAGTCTTACTCTACATGATTATCCTTAAATAATATAATCCTTAAAATGTTCAATTAAGTGTCTGCTATTCTCATTTTTTAATTTTAGCCTGTAAGGGGAATTCTTTCTGACTTGCTTCATGTTCTGTAGTTTGATTAAAGGAACCTGGGAATGCTGAAACATGTGCATGCAAGTCAAGGCTTTCTTCTCTGAGGTTGATGGGGTCATTTATCCATCAAGGATGCCCTGTTGCGTACTTCATGAAATTGGTTATTTAATTCGTCAACCATACAGATTGGGATGCCAAATACCCACTGCAGCTTGCAATGCAGAAGAACATCTATACTCGAAGCACAGTGATAATGAAGATGGTTGAGTTTTGTGTTTAAATACTAGTAATTCATTATTCCGTCCAGCGGCAGTTGCTGTGCCTATTTTTTTTCTGCGGTAGTACATTTGTCATGGAGAAGAAAGGGGCTATCTTGATGCAACGTTATGAATTAGGAAGGCTGTTGGGGCAGGGAACCTTTGCCAAGGTTTACTATGCCAGAGACATTAAAACTGGCTTGTGTGTGGCTATTAAAGTTATTGACAAAGAGAAGATCTCGAAGGTTGGGATGATTGATCAAATCAAGAGGGAGATCTCTGTCATGAGAATAGTTAAGCATCCGAACGTAGTTGAACTTTATGAGGTTATGGCAAGCAAAACTAAAATTTACTTTGTCATGGAATATGTCAAAGGTGGTGAGCTATTCAATAAGGTATCCAAAGGGAAGCTTAAAGAAGGTGCTGCACGGAAATTCTTTTGGCAGCTGATCAGTGCTATCGATTATTGCCACAGTAGAGGCGTATGGCATCGAGATTTGAAACCAGAAAATTTACTACTGGATGAACATGGTAATCTGAAGGTTTCCGATTTTGGGTTGAGTGCTCTTGTTGAATCTAAATGCCAAGATGGGTTGCTCCATACTACCTGTGGAACACCTGCTTACGTTGCTCCAGAAGTCATTAACAGGAGAGGTTATGATGGATGCAAAGCTGATATTTGGTCATGTGGAGTGATCTTATTCGTTCTATTGGCTGGTTATCTCCCATTTCATGATTCAAATCTAATGGAAATGTATAAGAAGATTGGAAAAGGAGAATTTAAATTCCCCAACTGGTTTACGCCAGAGGCGCGCAGGCTATTGTCGAAGATTTTGGATCCTAACCCAAATACTAGGATATCCATCGCCAAAATAATGGGAAGTTCTTGGTCAAGGAGGGGGTTGGATGTGAAACCCCGAATTAAAGCAGAAGAAGTGAAAGATGTCGATCCTTCAGAAGTCGATGCAGTTTTCGGGTCTTCAACGGACGAGAGAGATTCTGTTAGAGAGCTGAAGCAATTAGTGGAAAAGCCATCGAATTTGAATGCCTTTGACATTATCTCCTTATCAGCAGGTTTTGATTTGACAGGTTTGTTCGAGGAGACTACTGATCAAAAGAAAGAAGTAAGATTCACATCAAACAAGCCTGCGCCCACCATCATCTCAAAACTGCAAGATCTCGCAAAGTGTATGAAACTGAAAATAATGAAGAAAGACAGAGGCGTATTGAAGATCGAAGGGTGTAAGGAAGGTCGAAAAGGACCTGTATGCATTGACGCCGAGATTTTTGAGGTTGCCCCATCATTCCATGTAGTCGAAATGAAGAAATCGAACGGAGATACTCTGGAATATCATAAGATCATGAAAGAGGATATAAGACCTGCTCTGAAGGATATTGTATGGACCTGGCAAGGCGAGCAGCAATAGCAAGAACAAGAAGTGCTACTACAACAGTGTCTTTGAGGTAATATACATATTCCAGTTTTATCTGTTGTGTTATTATTATATCATGGTTAGCTTATTATAGACCATTTTGTAGTTATGGGTTTTTCTTAATTGTTGATGTTAACAACAGCTAAGTATGAATCCATTTTCTGTTGAAGTTATTTTCTCCATATATATATATTTTGTATTGAATGATTAGTAGATCCTAAGCATGTGCCATGGTTTCGAGTTGCGATGCCATTATCAGTCGTACAAAAATGCTTTGCCGTAACCTAACTTGAAATAGAGGTAGCACGTGACTTGAATATTTTAAGAAATACTCAGTAACTGGCTCCATTATTAGGGTTAAATGCAAGAATATGCGAATGTAATAATGAGATTTATCATATCAGTCTCTCTTCCTACGACACTATCTTAATTCCTACGACACTATCTTAATGGGCAGCTTGTACGACACTATCTTAATGGGCAGTTTGGATGTATACTATATACTCTACAAATATCTCATATGTGTGAGTATGGGCTCATCAGATAGTTCGCACACCACTAGGCTCATTTTCTTGTTGAGCGAGCCTTCTCTAGTATCTCCTTATGCTGGACACTGATTAGAATTAGTGATCGTTACGGTAGCATTATGTATTCACTTGCCTAATGGTGTATGCGTCCGTATCGTGATGGAAGTTCACACATAATGCATGAGGTCCCAATATTTTTTCGTTTTCAACATTATTAAATATAACTCCGTTATTATTTCTCATTCATATCATTTCTCATTTTTCATCTCATTCATCTCATTTCTCGTTTTTTCAGTCCTTGTATCAGTTCTCATATTATACATAATTCTAACCGATTATATTTTATGCAATTTATCGTAATTTCATGTTATTCATATCATGTTGTATACTAACATAACGTTCAATGCTTTTAACATAACATTTCTTCATATAAATATCATACCATAACATACTGCATTACAATATATCATATCATGAACATGTTAGTTTGTCACATATCTTGTACCATAACATATTGCATTACAATATATCATATCATGAACATGTTAATTTATCACATATCTTGTACCATAACATATTTGATATCATTTTCATATCAGAGTATATATAATCGTCATTCATATGTCGTATCATAATTATATCATATCGTTAACACTTTGGAATCATATTATTTCTTATCACAGTCTTAACGTTCCTATATATATTACAGTCATATTGTTACATGAACGTACTTTAGTTATGATATTCTCTTATTAATCGATCTGACTATATTGTTTTTATCAATTTCTCATATCCATAGCATTTCGATATGTATCATAATCTGAACGTTTCATGGGCATATCTTACTCTTATTATTACATTACGTTTAATGCATCTTTTTCGTATCCTATCTCATACATATCATCGAACACCTTTTCTCTAACTTATCATAGCCTAAACAAAATTTCCAATTCAACCTAACTCCGTCAAAATACACCCATAATATCAAGATTTTAACTCTACAAATATATCCATAAAATATCTATTAATCTTGTAAATAAAAAAAATGTACAACAATCATATAAGTTAATGATTACATTTTCTCCTAAGAAACATCGACTAAATCATAATATTAATATCAAACATCATCATATCTATGAATATTTTAATTCTTTCTATATAAAATTTGGTAAGATGAAGATATTTCACACTGCTTTGTGGGCATAATGGTTAAGAAAATATTGTTTGGAGGACATTTAAATTTATATTGTTCCAATGTCTGCATGTCCTTGTCTGAATTCAAAGCAAATCCGACACCATGTCTGCCATTTCTGTTGCCCCTCTAAGCCCACTAATATATATCTTTGTTTCTTTAGGCTTTTTTGTCCACCCATATAACAAATACCCTACCCATATATGAATTACTATAATTGTTATTTTTCTTCAAAGATTTAACTTTTGATTCGACATCAAATGTTTGAAAAATGCATGTATTTAATAAAGTTCAGTCAAAACTCCACAACGACACAATTTACAAAATGACAAATAGAGACGACTAAGCTCATAAAACAAAAGATCTAAGATATACAAAATATCGGTCTATTTCGATCTCTTTAGCACTTTAGCTTGTGTACGTCCTCGCTTTAGTTGCCCCATCTAAGTCTCATCTGAAAGGGGTTAGAGTAGCGTGGATTAGTACAGTCATTAAGTTGTATGTATAGTTCTTAGTTTGTTCTTAAATCTTTTTTTTTTATTCGTTCATTTATTTTTTTTTGTTCAGTATCTTAAGAGTTTGTTCTTAAGTCATAGATGTTCCTACCTAAGCTATCTCCTAGGTTTATTTGATTCATCTATAAAGTAGAAATTATCAAGTATTTTTTTTCCGTGACCCTATTTGAACGGTCGGTTCTCACAAGGTTGAGTTCTTTCGAGATCATTTTTTCTATAAGGTTTGTTTTTAAGGTTTTAAGATATGTTTGTTAGATTGTTCTACTAGCCCTTTTCATCATTGTTGTTATCATCATCATAGATCTATATCTTATAGGCACTTAGGCAACTCCACCCATTATTCTCATCGTACTATTATGGATACTGTTTTCAGATTCTCTAATAGGGTTTTGTTGACATCTCTATAGTAAGCTCCACAATGTAAATATCGTAAAGGAGGTTGTGACCCACAATCTAGCTAATACTCATCTACTTTTATCTACTCTCTTACTCTCATTCTAATAAGATCAGAATTAGGGAGTGGTTAGAGAACGGCGCTCATAAAGTTTTCATATGATTCATGCATTTTCAGAGCTCAATCCTAATTTTATCAACTCATAAGAATACTCTTGTGAACACCTACCGACTAGGTAAGTTTACTTCGAGGAAATTAATCTGTAATCTCCTAATAGTCTCCATAGAGTACAAATAAATCATAGTTAGTTTTAAAATATTATATGGTCCCTCAACAACCGAGTCGAGCTCACAATTAGGATTTAGATGACGAAGCCCTAATCATCTTCGTATAATAGCGTAGACATCTCATGCAAGAGCATACCATAAAAAGGGACATCGTATAGTAATCTAAGCAGGGATACATTGTCATGTTTTTAGTAACAATCAAACATAATAATGTTTCAATATGCTTAATATTAGTCAAATCAGCTTAGTTCAGTTCTATATTTCAATAGCACACTTCTATACATACTACAAGCTCGTTTTAATTTGAAGTTTTGAGGTGCTACTTGGTACATGTGGTACGTTTTAGGCTAAAGCCCTTAAATAACTCCAAATTTCTCCAAACTCTTCAAGTACATCCAAATTAAGGGAATCGTGTGAAAAAATAGGGAGTCAATTTGATTGAACCGAAGGACCGGTCTAACCGAACTAGGGTGGATTGGTCCAATTGGACCAAACACCTTCTACCTCTGCTTCCCTCGTGTCCCTTTAGCCACTCATCTTTTCTCGCTTGTATCTCGCATTCTCAACCTCGATAGATATTTCGATCCCTACAAGTTGTTTGATTATAATGTATTTAAAAATCACATGATCAATATTTCAATTGTGTCCATTACTCTCTAGAGTTTTAGTCGGTGGTTAATCGAGAAAGTGTCAAGCTAAGCTAAAACCACATATCCATATAAGACTTGGTAGTCACACGGAGAGCCATGAAGAATGTGCAAGTTTAGAGGCTTAAAATCTAACGACGACTAACAAGTCGATGACAACTCTAACCCATTGCATTTTTGAAAAATGTGCCTGAGTGTCTCCCCTCCCATCATAAGACCCACTCCCAAGAGTTCTTATCGACAAAGTTGTTTGGCATCTTAATGTCGACTCATTATATCCTAGAATTGAAGAAGGTCTCTAAAGTTCGGCTGTTCACTGATTCAAGTGGTACATGAGTTTGGTATAGAACATTGTGAGCCCCAACCCCCTATGGCACAACGGGGACCGTTCTTAAACTTCTTCGACCCTAGACTAGCAGTGAAATTCAAAGAAATATATATATATATATATATGATCCTTTAATTATATCCTAGGAAGACAAGTATGAAACCAAAAAAATGATTTATTTTTGTTACATATATTATATATCATATAGTTTTATAGAAAGGAATAATTTAAGAATTAAGTACATAAAATGGAAAAAAGCAGCCAAAAATTTGGTATGTTTATTTGTAACCCAATGAAAAGACCAAACCACCCCGCCCCCACTTCTTGATTTGACCTTACTTTATAACTCCATTTGGGCCTTACATAAATGAATCACTTTTTCTTAAAATAATAATAATAATTAATTTCTAAATTCATAAAATTTCAAGGTTATCGATCGCAGAGATTATCCAGCATAAAATTGCTTCAACCAAAATATGCTTCATTATTCTAGAGCTACCGAAAACGAATGTGGACCTTGTTGGTATATGTAATAACTTTATTTTCAGGATTGTTCTTGTTTGAATGTAGTCTCGGTTCATTTATATACCTCTCCTTTACTCGGGTATCACACAAACCTTCGATGATTCCCCAATACTTAGACTATCTGAATTATATATAGTCGACAAGAAATTCAATAAAGGGATCGATCTGGCTAAGAGAAACAAAATAGAAATTAAATATAACATGAAATGAAAAATGGTGGCTAAAAATAAAATGCACAAACTTTATCCTAAAAACATTAGGTTAAATATGAACCACTTATGTAAGTAATCCATCAATCAATTTTAAATTATGTAGAATATAAAAAAAGAAGAAAAAAAGAATTTTTATACTAAAACCATCCTCATAAATCCAATATTAAAATGGGTCCCATGCCAATCCGGAATAAGTTGGGATAGCTTCAACCTGTGTCCAAACACCCCCACTTTCTCTCTCTATAGACCACATTTATTAAGGAGTCCGACCAGGAGGACGCTGTAGGACCATGTACCCTACCGGCTGTGCCATTTCAGGGTCAGCTTCATATTATATGGTGGATCGACGTAGCCACGGACCCTCGACTCTTAATTGTTAAGGATTGTTGGGATCATGAATTTATAAGTGAGTAATACGTATTCATTGGTAATGAGCCATTTTATTAAAACTAAAGGCAAAGTTACGAGAGCTTATTCTCAAAGATCGACTATATCATATCATTATGGAGATTCGTGATTTTGAACATAGTTATGTCAATAGAATCCTCAAGTGTCGAACAAAAAAATTGTGAGTTTCGAATGTGTAGTCAAAAGTGACTCAACGGCTGAATAAAAGGGATATTTTATTCGAGGGCTTCAAAGAAGGAGTTAAACCTCGATTAAGGAGAGGCTATTCGAGGGCTTCATAGGCCTTAGGGAAGTCTGTATGGTGTACTTTGTTCGAGGGGAGGATAGTTAATGATTGTTGGGAGGAAGTCCCACCTTGTTTAAATAAATGAATGATTATGAGTTTATAAGCAAGAAATACATCTCTAGTGATGACGAGACATTTTGAGGAACCAAAAGTAAATGTAACAAAAATATACTGTAGAGCCTCCTCGTCGATCAAAGTATACCCTTTGTTCGATACTTGAGTCATTCTTAACTACACCTTTGCGTATCACAATTTCTTTGTTCGACAAGTAAAACACGGTCATATTTGATAGCTATTTATTTTTTAATTTTTAATTTTAATTTTTTATAAATTAAACTTATAAGATCGAGTTCCCACGATTTTTTTTTTCTCACTTTTTAATATATTATTTTAAAAAAGTATTTGTTTTAAAGAATTTGGAACAATTTTCATTTTTCAATATAATTCTCCGTTCAGCTCACGACCAGTAGATATTGTTCGTTTTGACTTGTTACATATCGTCGTCAGCTTCACTGATTTTAAAACACGTCTACTAGAGAGAGTTTTCTACACCCTTATAAGGAATACTTCGTTCCCCTCTCCAATCGATGTGTGATCTCACAATCCACCCTCCTTAGAAACCAACGTCCTCGCTTACTCTTATACCATTTATAACAACGCAAGTCTAGTTGGGCCCGAAGGGGAGATTGGGAGATCTCAAGTTGGAGAGAGAACATACCATTTCTTATAAGGGTGTGAAAACTTCTCTCTAGTAAACCCGTTTTAAAAATTTGAAGAGTGATACGTAACGGACCAAAGTAAACAATATCTACTAACGGTGGACTTGGACTATTACAAAATCCAAACCCAATAATATTTCATATATAATATTCAATATAATTTCTAAAAACTTAAATTTGTTTTTATATAAAATAAATTAGTTTTGTATTATAGTTTTGATAATATATATACGAAAAAAAAGGGGCACATTTGAGCGAGATCAAGTGGGAGTGAGGACAGGAATATAATCCCGTCTTCAATACAATTTGCTAGAAAAAGTTTCTCCTCACTTTCTCTCCCATTTCCAGATTCTTTGTCCTATTCGACCATATGGTTTAGAGAGGATATCAAAACATTCTTTAATTTCTCTCTGGTAAACAGTGTTTTAAAAATCTCGAGTGAAAACTTGAGAAAAAAGGACTGGAAGATAATAATATCGGTTAGCCTTAACTATTATATGTTCGTGGTAGATCAAATAAACATCTTTTATAAAATTAAAAATTAAAAATTAAAAAAATTTATAGATCATAAATCATCTCAAAAGTGGAGTGAGAGTAGAAAACATGTGGTTTGAAAAAAAAGTTGGAAATAAATAGCTGTTTCATTGGCAGGAAGAAAAAGCCTCTTAACACTCTTCTTCCTCGCCACTTCCTACTAAACAACAGCAACCTCCTATGGCGGCAGCGGCGGCGGCGGCTCTACCACCACCGACTCAACAGAAACCATCACTACCGATGAGGCTAAACTCTTTTGTCGCCACCACCCGTGTCGGAAAGCGATTCAAACTCACCCAACGAAACACAACCTTCACAACCGAACTCCGCGCCGGCACCGCCACTTTCCTCACGATGGCCTACATTCTCGCCGTAAACGCCAGCATCCTCACCGACTCCGGCGGCACGTGCTCCGCCGCCGACTGCACACCCCTCTGCTCCGACCCGACCCTCCCCCTCTCCGCCTGCACCGGTCCGACCCACCACGTCATCCAACCGGACATTTCCTGCAAATTCCGACCCGTCAACCCGGGTTACTCCGCCTGCCTGGAAACCACCCGAAAAGATCTTATAATCGCCACCGGAGCTTCGTCGCTCATCGGGAGTTTCATAATGGGCGTTTTCGCAAATCTCCCTTTAGCCTTAGCTCCCGGAATGGGCACCAACGCCTACTTCGCCTTCGCCGTCGTCGGGTTCCACGGGTCGGGTCAATTACCGTACAGAAGCGCTTTAGCCGCCATTTTCATCGAAGGCTTAATCTTCCTTCTAATCTCCGCCGTCGGATTACGAGCCAAAATCGCCAAATTAATCCCAAAACCCATCAGAATCTCATCCTCCGCCGGAATCGGATTGTTCCTCGCCTTCATCGGATTACAGAGCAATCAAGGAATTGGGCTAATCGGGTACAACGCCTCGACCCTCGTCACCATCGGAGCCTGCCCGAAGAATTCCCGGGCAGCGTTAGCTGCAGTCGTAACTGCCCCGAATGGAACGGTCAGTTTGCTCCGGAACGGCGCCGTTTCCGATCAGATTCTCTGCCTGAACAACCGAATGCAAAGCCCCACGTTCTGGCTCGGCGTGGTGGGATTCGCCATCATTGCGTATTGTTTGGTGAAAAACATCAAAGGCGCAATGATATTCGGCGTCGTTTTCGTGACGGCGGTTTCGTGGTTCCGTAACACCGTCGTAACGGTATTTCCCGACACGGCGGCCGGCGACTCTGCATTTAATTATTTCAAGAAGGTCATCGACGTTCATTGGATTAAAACCACCGCCGGAGCTTTGAGTTTCCGGGATTTGGGGAAACCCCATTTCTGGGAAGCGATGTTCACATTCCTTTACGTCGACATTCTCGACACCACCGGAACTCTGTACTCCGCCGCCCGTTTCGCCGGATTCACCGACGCCGCCGGCGACTTCGAGGGGCAGTATTTCGCGTTTATGTCAGACGCTTTTTCAATCGTGGTTGGGTCTCTGCTCGGAACCTCGCCGGTGTCGACGTATATCGAGTCGTCAACGGGAATCCGAGAAGGCGGAAGAACAGGGCTGACGGCGGTGACGGTGGCGGGATACTTTCTAATGTCGTTTTGGTTTACGCCGCTATTGGCGTCGATTCCGCCGTGGGCGGTGGGGCCGCCATTGATTCTGGTAGGGGTTCTGATGGCGAGATCAATGGTGGAGATCGAATGGGGGGATATGAGAGAAGCAATTCCGGCATTTTTGACGATGATTTTGATGCCATTGACATATTCGATTGCTTTCGGATTGATCGGAGGGATTGGGACGTTCGTGGTGCTGCATTTGTGGGACTGGTGCGGCGTCGTTTTGGAGAAGCTCCGAGCTCGTCAAATCTGTTCTAACGGAAATAATGGCGGAAAAGAGATTCCGTTGTCCGGTGGAATCTCCCCACGGGAACGTCCAAAAACATTAGAAGTTTGATTTTTATTTTGTTTAATTACAAACTTACCCTCTTATATTGTAAATAAATTAAATTTGAAAACAAATATCTTAAACTTAAAAAAAAAAATTAAAAAATATCTTTTTAATTTGTAGGAAAATATTAATATTTTTATTTTAAAAATATTTAACATTTTATTCTTTTAATTCTTATCCCGTTCTGACCTAATACTTATCGAGTTCTCATCTTTCGTTCTCAAGTTGATTCTTTAGTCCAATTATTTTTTTTCGTAATATTCTTACTAGTTGTTAAAGAAAGTCGTCATTTCTCTTGCAAAAATTTGCTTAGACCTTTCTATATTACTCCGTTCTCGTGTGTAGCGTCTCGAAATCTGTAATATGTGATAGATTTGTTATATATGTACGTAATTAATGGATAGATCTGTAGTATGTGATAGATTACATTTTCATAAATAAAAAAAACAAGCCCTCACTACCCACTCAGATTAAGATTGAGCCGTATATGGTTATCATATAAAATATTACTTTTTTCAATTAATGGATTTGTAAGGAGAAATTAAATATTTCGTGGTCTAGTGCCCAGGGCCCTACCCGACCCTTCAACAAGTCTATCTTTGCCCTTCATGTCTATTTTGATGTCTCCGTCTTCCTTATGTTTCAACTTATTTTCAATGCCCACTTTGTGTGGTGGTGTGTTGGATGATGTATTGTCCTCCTCAATCGCATCATGACACTCGTCTAGGCCCTTGCGTGGCCGGATGGGCGCCACTTGAGGATTGTCACTTCTATTGTCGCAACGTAAGGGTCACAACCTACTCTGTTCATAGTATGGTTATGACATTCTCCCCCACTTAACTTAGTCATCGTCCTCGATGACTTATTCGGGTCACAATTCTGTACAAACTCATTGTATAAGATACCTCAACTCATATATCTCTAACCTGAATGATTTAGATCAAATAATTTGTAACAATTGCAAAATGGGTCGTATCTTTGGACTTCCAAATTTTTAAAACACGTCGGAAGATGAGCAGTATCACATGAGATGCCCATGACGAAATCCAGTGAGTAGAACCTCTTCAAGAAAGTACACTACCCCAAATTGGTCGATCAGAGGAACACTAAAAGAATAAATGATTTCAAAACTCAATAGACAAACGACGTATGCAACCCAGTGGAATAGACACATCTCAACACAAAATATATGATTTGGGCAGAAAAAAAATGACGTCTTGACATGATTAGACATGATTTTGGAGGGGACCGATTGGATTGTAATGGTTTAATTTCACTAATTGAAGCTAATAATGGGTTAGTGGCAAACATTGGATAAAAGGTGATGTATTTAGGTCTAGGAAATTTGAAGCAACCAAGTTGGGTTAGGTTAAGATAGTCTTTTTGACTATAATGAAAAATTAATATATTGTGAAAAGAGATATTGTCCCCTTTCAATTGAGATGATGTGTTTTGTACTTGGGGGAAGCAAACAAGTTAGGGAGAAGAAAGATCAAGATCCAACGACCTACTCGGCTCGACTAGAAAAGTCAAGCTTAAGTCGAATCTCTTCGTAGAGCATGTAGCCTTAAGACTCTAAGCTGCCACCGAAGCTTGGCTTGACTTCTTGGTTTAAATCCTACCACTAATGTAGCCAATGAAATAAGGGAATGATTATGATACTAGAGCAAAGGAGAGATATATGAATGAACCGAGACCACATCTAAATGGGATAGATCCTGAGAATAGGATGACTAAGAAAAGTTTAAAAGAATTGAAAGCTATTAACTGTGACAATGCACCTTCCTTTTTGTGGCTCAATTGTAGGACTCGTGATTCTACGTGGGTGACCTCTTAGAATTTTTTTCGAGATATATGTGAGTGAATATAAAGCATGCTAGAAAAACTCGTATTGATATGTGGGGATAGTCTTCACTTTCTTAAGAAGCAAGAAATAGGTAACATGACCATGTTGCAGAGCAGGAAAATGCCGGGATCATCAAGTGTCAAATCTAGATTCTAAATCCTAATTTAAATTCTGAGCAGGACTCGACGTACGCGTGTGTGTGTGTGAGAGAGATTCAAAATTTGGTTTGGACACCTGATGGTTTTGATATTGGCCTACATCTCGTCCGACAGGATTATGTTACTTACTCTTCGTTTATAACACTAAAAACTATCTATATATTTATTTTCAAACATTTAATTAAAATTTATTAACTTAATTTCAATATATATTTTGAAAATTTTTCTTTTTGACTAGTTAAAAATTATTTTTAATAGCAGTCGAAAAATTAATAATAAAAATAAAATAAATATATAATATATAATTGTATTTTAACATAGATATGTTTTAAAATTAAAATAAATTTAAGTTGGTACGATTCTTCGACAAAGGGCAAAAATGAAATAACTTTAAAGAAAAGGGTTATATAGAGAAATAAATTCTAAATATAGGGTATCTACGTAAATTTACAAAAAGTTTGGTCTGCTATTTCGGTCTATACGGGCCAGCCCAAATTTTACGACTGCAGGCCCGGCCCATATTCTGAATGGTTAGCCCATTAAGGTATGGGTTTGATTAAGTTTTGGGCTGATGTGTTAGTTAATTACTTAATTAATTGTTATTAGTCATGTATTTAGTTGCTAATTGTGTTCCCATAAACCCCATAATTTTACTTCTAATTTGTATTCCTAACTATTGAGTAAAACGTACTTACGGCTCGTTCTATCTGAGTTAACCGTTATTAGTTTAAACTTCTTTTTAAAAAATTTGTATAATAATAATAATAATTTATATTCAAGGTATTTACGAAAATTAATCATTCAGTACTAGTGAACTAATGTGAGATCCACGTCGGTTGGAGAGGGGAACAAAGCATTCTTTATAAGGGTGTGGAAACCTTTTGCTAGTATACTCGTTTTAAAATCCTCGAGAAAAAATGTGAAAGGTGACCATATTTACTAGCGGTGGGCTTAGGCTGTTACAAATGGTATCAAAGCCAAACGCCGTAGTGGATTGTGAGATCTCACAATGATTGGAGAGAGAAACGAGTGTTAGCGAAGACGCTGGGCCCCGAATGAGGGTGAATTGTGAGATTCTACATCGGTTGGAGATAACGTGTAAACCTCATGTTTTAGATTTATTGAAAGTATGTGAGTTGGTGAAGTAAATAAACTAAAATAGAACAAGTTTCTCGGTTAAAAAAGTAAATAATAGGCAAAATTAATAGAAAAACATCTATGACAAATTCGATTAAACCAACTAGGACCAAACGTAGCCACGAAGAATTTGGGTCGTAGCCCAAATTCAATGCCTCGACCTTGACCTCAAGCAACCCTATGGTTCCCCTCTCAAGGGGACGTGTCATGCATGTCTTAGACTCGTGGTTTCTTAGTTCAATCCAATATGGTTTATATGTGACCTAATTCTCGAGATTCTTCTATAAATACACCTCTTCAACTTTAAAAATGTAATCTCTTCCCGGTTCCAAAACTCTTGCTATACTAAAATTCTCTATACTAACTTAGCATCGAAGCTTGTGTGACAAACACTATTGAAGTGTGAAAATTTTTCTTACTTTATAGGTCACGTTATCTCCCATCAAGTAAATGTTACCGTTGCTATTTACAACAAAAAAAAGTCAAATACGGGAGTAGATATTTTAACCGCTAACTCCAATTATTTAAGATAAGCATATTTAACAAAATGTAGGATAAAAATACGTTAAATAAATTATATCATAGTTGAAATTCATAGATATTTTGCCTTTTTTGTTCATAGTTTATACATTTTTCTTATTCATAATGTAACATCCTAAAATAAACAAATATACAAATATAAAGTAGTGTGACATCAACTTCCACTCAATGTCATGATTAGTTTTGAATTACGTGACAAATGTCGATCATATATTAAATTTTATGAATTGAATATACTATAGTCTATAATATAGACATTTAATATTGCTAAATATATTATTCATATATGTAAAAGTCAAATATATTTCTACCATTATGGAAAATGACATTTACTTGTAAAACTATAAATTCTATTTATGATGTTAATTGTGTAAATAAATAATACAATTACTAATATTCAAATCAATTTTTTTTAAAGAATTAAGACCTAATATTTCAATAAAAAAAAATTTGATTAACGGTCAAGTTTTTATTACACGGATTTCATTGAGACTTTGTAACGGCTCAAGCCCACCGCTAGCCGATATTGTCCTCTTTAGGTTTTCCTTCTAAGGGATCCCCTTTAAGGGTTAAAACACGTCTACTAACACTTGGGATAGGTTTCTTTGTGTTTTCCTTACAAGGGATTTCCCTTAAGGTTAAACACGTCTACTAGGGAGAGGTTTCTACGACCTTATAAAGAATGTTTCGTTCTCCACTCCAACCGATGTGGGATTTCACAATCCACCCTCCTTAGGGGCCCGCGTCCTTGCTGGCACACATCCCAGTGATTGGCTCTGATACCATTTGTAACAGTCTAAGATCACCTCTAGTAGATATTGTCTCCTTTGGCTTGTTACGTATCCCCGTCAGCCTCACAGTTTAAAAATACGTCTACTAGGGAGAGGTTTCCACACATTTATAAAGAATGTTTCGTTCTCCTCTCCAACGAATATGGAATTTCACAATAAAAATTTACATTCTTCAAGTAATTTGAAAGGAGGTTTTATCCACCCCACGACCAACTCGAAAGGACACATTTGTTTTTGGATTCAAACTTTGGAATTAAAAAAAAAATAAAAAAATTTGAATTTACCCTTTGGGGAGCTTTAAAAGTTAAACATATTACATGTTTGTGGAAAAAAGTTTATAAAATTTTAAAATAAAGTTTGAATGAATTATTTAAAGTATGGAGAATATTTAAATGGAAATATTATGGGTTAAGCCATTATAATCCAATATTTAGATATCTTCATATCAAATTATGAGGTTCTAAGTTCATCAAACACGATTCCTTCCATTTCTTAATATTAAAACGATACCAATCTGTCATTTATTATATATTTTACAGATCCCAATTGTTTCTATAATATTTATTTTTAAGCTTACGTCTTCATA